CCGCTCCACTCGCTGCGCTGTCCAGCCTGGGGAGCCAGCTGTATTATCCCCCAGTTAACTTCACTCATTCATTTAAAAAATTACTGAATTACTATGATGTGCCAAAACCCTGAGAATTTTGAAGGTTTTGTAAAATAGCTTTTTAATATAGGGAGGTAACGAGTTGTCTACTTAAAATTTTGGGGCCTCTGGGGCCAGGTGTGGTGGTTCATGCCTGTATTCCCAGCACTTTGGGAGGCCGAGGTGGGCAGATCAGGAGGTCAGGAGATCGAGACCATCCTGACCAACATGGTGAAACCCCGTCTCTACTAAAATTACACAAAAAAATTAGCCGGGTGTGGTGGTGTGTGCCTGTAGTCTCAGCTACTCAGGAGGTTGAGGCAGTAGAGTCGCTTGAACCCGGGAGGCAGAGGCTGCAGTGAGCTGAGATTGTGCCACTGCACTCCAACCTGAGTAACAGAGCGAGACTCTGTCTCAAAAAAAAAAAAAATGGGGGCCCTCCTTCCACAGTGTAGAGTGCCCCAGCCTCCCTTGCCTGTGTCTGGTTTTGGCCAATGGAATGTGAACAAGAAGTGCAGTGTCACCTCCAAAGCAAGTTAAGAAGTGAGTGTGTCACTTTCTTCCCTTCTTCTCCATCTGCTGGCTGGATTCACAAGACTCAAAGGCCTGGTGAAGACCAAGCCGCAGGATCAAGGGAGCCTGGGGCCCTGAGGTCCATCAGGACTCACTCAACAGGGATAGGAGGTGACAATTTCAGTGGCTCATGCTAACTTCATGGGCTTACTCTCTGTGGCTGATGGAGTTTGAGTTTGGGAGTTGCCCTGCTGTTATACAAAGTTTTGCTTAGTGTAGTTGATATGAGTCTGGCTTTGTTTTCCAATAGACCTGAGTTTAAGCCCTAACATCGCCACTAATTTGCTGGGTGACCTCAGTCTTTAAGACTAAATCTCTATTTTCTTTTCTATAAAGTACAAATAATAACAATGACAACTTCTCATATTTATCATGGGAATTAAGGGGCATGATGGGTGCAGAGTGCTGAGACCACTGCTTGACACATGCAAAGCACCCAGTGAGTGCTCCTGAGACCCTCAGGGCTGTGGGTTGCACAGTGGTTATGGGAGTGGGCCTGAATATTACCTCTGCCTCACTGTGCAATTCTTCAAAAATTATATGTGAATCCTTTTTGGGGGCTTGATTTACTCATTTGTAAAATGAAAACAACAATCTCTTCCACATAAAGGTGCTGTAAGGGTGAGATTAGAGAATGAGAACATCTGGCACAGAGTAAACACTCAACATAGTGGGTTCAACGGTGCCCCCCAAAAAGATATGTCCACTGTCTTCATCCATTTTCTGTTGCTGTAACTGAATAATGGAGACTGGGTAGTTTACAAAGAAAATAAATTTATTTCTTATAGTTATGGAGGCTGGGAAGTCCAAGATCAGGTGGCTGCATCTGGTTGGCTTCTGGTGAGGGCCTTGGGCTGTGTCATAATATGGTGAAGGCATCACAGGGCAGGAGCAGCTCCCTGAAAGCCAAACTGGCTTTTTAACATGACAAATCTACTCCAGTGATAACCCATTAATTCATTAACCTGTTAATGAATTAGAGCAGAGCTCCCATGACTCAATTACTTCTTAAAAGCCTCCCATTTTAACAGTATTGCATGGGGGATTAAGTTTCAACACAAGTTTTGAAGGGGACAGACATTCAAACCATAGTATCAATGTTGCAATTTCTGAAACCTGAGAATGTGATCTAATTTGGAAAAAGGGTCTATAGATGTAATCAACTTGAGATGAGATCATCCTGGATTATCCAGATAGGCCCTAAGTCCAATGGCAGGTGCACTTAGAATAGAAGACACAGACACACAAGAGGGCCACATGGAAATGGAGACAGAGATTGGGGTAGATGCAGGGAGAAGCTAAGAAATGCCAGGAGCTACCAGAAACCAGAAGAGGGAAAGAAGGAGTTACTCTTAGAGCTTTTGGAGAAAGCACAGCGATCCCTACACCTTGATTTTGAACTTTTGGCCTTGAGAACTGTGTGAAATTAAATTTCTCTTTTTAAGCCACTCTTTGCTGTAATTTATTACAGCAGCCCTGGGAAACTGATCCACTTGGTAAATACTATTTTCTTGTCATTTTTGAAGAAATTTGATACCTCCTTTACCGCTACTGGAGAAGGAGGTAGCGGCTGTGGCTTTGGGAAGAGTGGAGGTACTGAGATGAATGGGCAGTGTCCTTTGAAGTAGACTAAGGCAGGAGTTGGCAAACATTTTTCTATAAAAGGCCAGGTAGTAAGTGGCTGTCTCAAGTCTGCTTTTGTAGCACGAAAGCACAAAGGCGGCCTCAGACAATACTTAAATGACAAGATGATGGATTTGGCTTGCCCTTGGGCAGCAGTTTGCTGACCCTCAGTCTGGGGCGGCACGACTCCAGGTAGTTCATGGGCTATGCCAGTCCAAGAACTCCTTGTTTCTTTCTGTGGTGAGATAAGTGCTGAAATGGAGAGTGTTAAAGAAAGCTTTATAGCAACTTGATAAAGTAATTTTATTCTGGTGAAGCTAAGGACAAAATATTTAGGTGCATATGTATATTTCATGATATTTGTATATATTTATGGGACACATGTGATATTTTGATATGTGCATACAATGTGTGATGATAAATTGGTATTCATCACCTTGAACAGGTATCATTTCTTTGTGTTGGGAACATTTCAAATCTAGCTATTTTGAAACATGCAATAGATTGTTGTTAACGATAGTCAGCTTACTGTGCTATTGAACACTAGAACTTATTTCTTTTCTTTTCTTTTTTTTTGAGATGGAGTTTCACTCTTGTTGCCCAGGCTAGAGTGCAATGGTGCCATCTCGGCTTATTGCAACCTCTGCCTACCGGGTTCAAGCGATTCTCCTGCCTCAGCCTCCCGAGTAGCTGGGATTACGCACATGAACCACCATTCCTGGCTAATTTTGTATTTTTAGTAGAGATGGGGTTTCACCATGTTGGCCAGGCTGGTCTTGAACTCCTGACCTCAGGTGATCCATCTGCCTTGGCCTCTCAAAGTGCTGAGATTACAGGCGTGAGCCACAGCACCCAGCCAATTTATTTCTTTTAACTGTATGTAGGTTAGGGTTTAGGGTTCTCTAGAGGGCCAGATCTAATTGGAGATACACACACACACACACACACACACACACACACACACACTCATACACACACACACATATATATAAATATATATTTGGAGTTTATTAAGTATTAACTTACATGATCACAAAGTCCCACAATAGGCTGACTGCAAGCTTGAGGAGCAAGGAGAGCCAGTCCAACTCTTAAAACTGAAGAGCTTGGAGTCTGATGTTTGAGGATAGGAAGTGTCCAGCACAAGAAAAAAATGTAAGCTGGGAGGCTTGGCCTGTCTCTCCTTTTCATGTTTTTCTGCCTGCTTTATATTCGCTGGCTGGTGATTAGATTGTGCCCAGTAGGTTAAGGGTGGATCTGCCTTCCCCAGTCCACTGACTCAAATGTTAATTTCTTTTGGCAACACCCTCACAGACACACCCAGGATCAATACTTTGTATCCTTCAATCCAATCAAGTTGACACTCAGTATTACCCATCACAGTATGTTTGTATCCATTAACCGACCTCTCTTCCTCCCTGTGTTTCCCCACTCTCTGGTAACTGTCTTACTCTCTGCCTCCCTGAAATCTACATTTTTTTTTTTTCAGCTTCCACACTGTATTAGTCCATCCTCATGCTGCTATAAAGAACTTCCTGAGACGGGGTAATTTATAAAAGAAAGAGGTTTCATTGACTCACAGTTCTACATGGCTGGGTATGCCTCAGGAAACTTACAGTCATGGCAGAAGATGAAGGGGAAGCAGGGACCTTCTTCACATGGTGACAGGAGAGAGAGAAATGTGTGAGTCTGCACGAAAAACTACCATTTGTAAAAACCATTAGATCTCATGAGAACTTACTCACTATCACAAGAACAGCAGGGGGGAAACTGTCCCCTAATCCAGTCACTTCCCATCAGGTTCCTCCCTTCACACCTGCGGGGATTACAATTCTAGATGATATTTGGGTGGGGACACACAGCCAAGCCATATCACATATATAAATGAGAACATGTGATATTTGTCTTTCTGTGCTTGGCTTATTTCACTTAACATAAGGATCCCCAGTTCCATCCATGTTGCTACAAATGACAGGATTTCATTCTTTTTAATGGCTGAATAGTATTCCATTGTGTATACATCACATTTTCTTTATCCATTCATTTGCTGATGGTAAGGTTGATTCCATATCTTGGCTATTGTGAATAGCCAATAAACATGGGAGTGCAGGTATCCTATTTTTTAGATATACTGATTACCTTTCCTTTGGATAAATACCCAGTAGTGGGATTACTGAATGGTATAATGTTCTATTTTCAGTTCTTAAAAATATTTTCTTTTAAAAAATGTGTATCTTTTCATGGGGTACAAGTGCAGTTTTGCTACATTAATATATTGCATTGTGGCAGTCAGGGAACTTCACTGCATCCATCATGGATATTTTAGTTTCTTGAGAAACCTCCATACTGTTTTCTACAATGGCAGTACTGATTTACACTCTCACCAACCGTGTTTCAGAATTCCCTTTTCTCTGCGTCTTCATCAGCATTTTTCATATTTCATCTTTTTGATAACAGCCATTCTAACTGGCATAAGATGATCTCTCATTGTGGTTTTCATTTGTATTTCCCTGATGATTATCAATATTCGGCATCTTTTCATATACCAGTTGCCATTTTTATCTTTTTTTTTTCTGAGAAACATCTATTCAGATCCTTCGCCCACCTTTTAATGGAATTATTGGGTTTTGTTTTGCTGTTATGTGAATTGCTTGTGTATTCTGGATATTAATCTCTTATTGGATAAATAGTTTGCAAATATTTTCTTCCATTCAATAAGTTGTCTCTTTACTCTGTTTAGGCATATATTTTCTATGTCTTTTTTCCTTTTAGTATTCTAAAAATTCTTATTTTAAATTTTATACAAGTGTCGGTCTGTGGCAGATTAGAAAGCAAATCCTGGTCTTTGCCCACAAGCAGTTGGAGAAACTTTGGTCTGTACAGGACATCCTCTGTCTTTGCAAGAAGGTGTTGCTTACCCACAGGAAGCCATGAAAAATCAGGGAGCCTGGAAAAACCCAGCCCTTGGGCAGCCCGGGAGGTGGGAAGGTTGTTCTCAATAGTGCTTCTGGCCTGGGGGCTTGAGGTGGCCTGGTTTGGACTGGACATCGAGGCACTGTACAAGGAGCCTGGCTGAGGTCGGTCATGTCACATCAAGGGGGTGTCACATCAAGGGGGTGTGTTGTTGACCTGAATCCACCATGCAAAGCAGGGCAGATGGTTGGTTGTTGACCAGCCCAGGGCTGCTTGAACCCGAAGGGCAGGGCCTGGCTGTGTACGTGGGAGGCTTGGGTCTCCTTCCCCAGCTGCTGTTGGCCCCCTTCCAGGCCTTCCCTGCACACATGGAGGAGGCTGCAGGAGGCTCTGTAGAATCCGTGCTGCTCTGTGCTTCAGCTGTTTGTTCCAGTCTCCTTCACAGACAGCAGCTCCCCAAGGTCAGTGACACTGCATGCCTGATTATCCTGGGGGCTGGGCCTGTGCTCTTCCTGGCTCGCAGCAGGTGCTCAATAAATGTTTACTGGGGAACAACTGGGCACATGGATCTTTTTCTTTCAGATCATGTGCCCTCTGCTTGTGGGTAGCGCACGGAGTCCTGCAGGCAGGAAGGTGGGACCTCTGAGCCGCCCTGAACACCGGGCTCCGGGGCAGTGGCATACAGGGCAGACCTGCTGCTGTGTACAGGGAAGGCTGCCAGGCCCGGGGGCACTGCACACCCATCATCTCTGTCCTGGCTGGAAGTGCCCCTCAGAGAGAAGACAGGGACTCAGGGCTTGCTGGACAGAGAGTGAAGGAATGCATGGAGTGACTGTCCTCTGGGTCCAGGGGTCAGGAGAGGCTGTGCTGCCTGTCACTACATGGCCACTGCCTTGGTCTGCTTGAGCTGCTGTCTCTGACTCAGTGGCCTAAACAATAAGCTCTCTCACGGCTCTGTAAGCTGCAAGTTCAAGATCAGGGTGCCAGCAGGGCTGGGGTTCGGCTGGGGCCTCTTCCTGGCTGCTGACTGCTGTCTTCTCATGGTGTCCTCACATGGTGGAAGGAGACTGAGAGGGCTCTCTGGGATCCCTTCTATGAGGGCACTAATCTCAGTCAACAGGGGTCTACCTGCATGACCTAATCACCTCCCCACAGCCCACCCCCAAATACCATCACCTTGGGGGGCAAATATTTCAACACACGTTTTGAGGGGACAAAAGCATTCCATTCATAGCAGCTGTCTACAAAAGTTAGCTTAGCCATCCCCCTAATTGACTGGGGACTGCTCACACTTCAATAAAGCAAATGTTCTGTGAGAGAAGGACCTAAACAAGGGTAGACTATCTATCTATCTATCTATCTATCTATCTATCTATCTATCTATCTATCATCTATCTATCATCTATTTATTGTAGAGAAGAGGGTCTTGCTATGTTGCCCAGGCTGGTCTCCAACTCCTGACCTTAAGCCCTCCTCTCACCTTGACCTTCCAAAGTGTTGGAATTACAGGTGGGAGCTGACCACTTCTGGCCCAAGGCTAGCATTTTGAAGAGCTATACATTCTAGAAGGAACAAGATGAGCCGTGCTGGCTCTTAGGACAGTTGAGTGACTGCTCTCTCCCCTGGGGATTCCCTGTACAGAATCAGCTGATCTGGCTGTCCAGGAACCCACCCTTCCTCCCTTTGGTCTCCACCAAAGGTCCTTCTACACCTCACCAAGGGGCTCCTCCCCGTTTCAAGATCTGCAGATCCATTTGAGCAAAGGTCAGAACCAGGTGTCATGAAGCCTGAAGCCTGGGAGAGAGGTGTCTTTGAGGGCCAGGAAGCAAGGTGCCCGCCTCACTAGCAGGCCAGGGACTTGGGCTGAATCACAAAGGCACAGCCTCGGACCTGGGTGGAGTGGGGGCAGTCATGAGTTTGCATTTTCAAATAAAACCAGGAGGAGGGTTCAGGTCAGGGGCTGGGGGGCTGGAGAGAGGCCCCATCGGACCTGGAAGATGGATTGCTGTGGCACATTCAGAGCAAAACAGAGTATGAAGTTGGATGAATCTTGGGTGGGAAACGCTGTGTTTTTACCAAACACTCCTGTGGCTAGTGTGTCTAATCACTTTACAAGTTTTTCTTGCCAGCAGCTCTGAATTTGTGGATGCTGGATCACCTGCCCACAGACGTGGAAACTGGGACACAGAGTGATTTAAACTCCAACTGAGGATGTGATCCAGGAGAGCGTGGAGCGAGGAGGTCTTTCTGTCTAGTGCATGGCTTCCCTCGCTGAGTGGCGCTGACTCTGCCCTTGGCCTTGCTGAGATTTTATAGCCCTCACTCATTTGGGTCAGGCAGAGCCCCCTCAGAGCCAGCGGAGAGAGGAAGCCAGCCCTGGTTCTATGCGTGCTGGAGGGCTTTCTGCTTGCCTGGTCGTAAGCAAGAATCCAGAAAATAAATAGTTCAGTTCCCGCCGAAATTGCCTATGCTGGAATTTGTGCCTTGAAAAGAAACATGAATAATGACTAGGACAGAGCATTTCTTTATTTGAACCCGGATAATTTTAACGGTGATAGCATAAATGTGAGAAAGCCCCAGCATAGCATATTCTCCGTGTTATAAATTCCTTTTCTCCCTGGAGTCTCAGCCTTATCTGGAGCCTCTCTTGGCTGCACTCTCTTCTTTCATTTCTGTCTTCTTTATTCACTGTGTTCCTTCTTTTCTCAGATTTTACTGGGTCAGCAGCTGCAGCTGAAATGAGCCAAGGATGCTTGCTCGGGGTGGCAGAGAAACACCGCCGGCTGGGAGTGCCATCTCTTTACCGTTGAGGGCCACTTTCTCAGAGCGCGCTGAGTTCACACAGAACCTACTCTGCCACAGCCTGTTTTATTTTTTAAAAGTCAGTGGATGACAAAACAATTTTAGATGGCTTTCCTTTGCTCTCCCTAAAACTGAGCACCTTCCACAGCTCTTACCCTGGACACGTGTCCTTTGGTGCATCTACAGAATCCCTCAAAATTTAATTATTTTTAACTAAAAATACCCAGTGTAACCGGATACACTTTAAAATAGTGAGTTCATTTGAAATACCTTCTCAAGCAACAGGGTTCGTTCCAGGGACTGTGGAAATAATGGTAGTTGTGGCAAAATGGAAATGTAACTGGTCGCTCATACACTCCTAAGATCTCGTGCTTAGAAGTGTGATCATGTGTGCTTGGGGAAAGTGACTGTGTTTTTCACACAATATAGTCCTACCCTGGAAATTGTGACTGAACTGGAAAACACCCCAGGTTGTGGATTCACCTGTGCAGAGGAGTAACTAGAAGTCAGATTTAGGGAAGACATGCAGCAAAGAAACCTAGAGAAAGCAGAGGGAAGAGAAAAAATATGTTGTAATGGCTAAATAAGCCCAAACTTATCAGTTGTGACAACATAAAAAATGAAATAAAAATCAGGCTGAAACAAAATGACTCAGAAAGTTTTACAATTAATAAAAGTGAAGAATGTAGCAATATTCACACAGATGAATTCAATCTCAAGATGAAAAGTATTAAGAAGGGCAGAGACAGCCATTTCATATTAATACAAGTGAAAATGCACCAAGGAGGTATAATAGTTTTGACATTGTATACACCTAATACCATACTTTTGAAATACAGCTGTTCCTTTGAATTACAAGGAGAAATTGATGATCGTGGAGAGATTTTGACACATCTTTCCTGTAGTGGGCTGAATGGTGGCTCTAAAGACATGTCCCCATCCTAATCCCTGGAACCTGTAAAACATTACCGTATTTGTAAAAAGGGTCTTTGCAGACATAATTAATTTAAGAACCTTGAGAGGAGATCATCTTAGATTATCCAGATGATTCCTAAGTGTCTTTGCAAGTATCTTTTTAAGAGAGAGGCAGAGGGTTGACACAGAGGCGGAGGCCATGAGAAGGGGAAGGCAGACATTGGAATAAGTTGGCACAAGTCATGGAATGTCCAGGAAGGTGGGCAGCCACCAGAAGCTACAGTGGCCTGGGACAGACTCCCCCAGAGCTCCTAGAAGGACCACTGCCCTGATGACACCTTGATTTTGGATTTCTGGCCTCCAGAACTGGAACGGAATAAATTTCTGCTGTTTTAAACCACCAAGTTTGTGATAATTTATTACAGCAGACATAAGAAATGAGTTCTCAAAAACTACCATAGCAAGTAGAAGAATAATTAATAAGAAAATAAAGGATTTGAAGAATTTAATTAACTCTACAACCAAATGAATATGCTCGTTACTTTCAAGTACACGGGGAAATTTCTAAAAAATTAACCATGTACCAAGCAACAAAGGAAAACCCACAATTTTCAAAGGCTGAAGTCATCAAGTCCTTATTCTAATGGGGGCAAGGAAGTAAAAATAGTAACCAAGAACAAAAAGTTAGACAGAATATCCCCACATAACATCTGGAGGTTAAAAAAATCTTCTAAATAATTCATGTTTTAAAGAGGAAATCAAAATGGAGTACAGTACTTAAAACCAAAAGACTGTAAAAGTTCTACACATAAAAAGTTATGGGATAAAGCCAAAGTGGTGCTCAGAGGGGAATTTAGATCCAGAAGTGCATTTACTAGAAAACAAGAAAGACTGAAAATAAATGAGCTAAGCTTTCAACTTAAGAAACTATAAGAAAAGGAATAAGAAAAATCTAAAGAAAGTAGAATGAAGAAGAAAACTAACATACAAGCAGGAATGAATGAAAGAGAGAGCCAGAAATTCCAGTAATCAGCAAAACCAAAAGCAAGTTCTTTGACATGATTAATAACATAGACAAATTTTTGACAGGTATAATCAATAAAAAGGAGGGGAGACATAAATATGAGTAAACACAGAAGGATTTACAACTATGGACACTATCAACCTCCAAAAATTATAAAAGAATTGATTATTTTTATACCAATATACTAAGAAAAAGATTGAGGTTGAAAACTTCCTAAGATAATATATATAACCAAACTGACCCAAGAACAGGTAGAAAATCTGAATAGGGACGCAATCATTAGATAAATAGAAATGATAGACAAAGATCAATAACTAAAGAGGCAACAAATCCATACAGTTTAAAGATTTTTTTTTCCTAGATGGGGTTTCCTGGCCATGTTGGCCAGGCTGGTCTCAAGCTCCTGACCTGAGGTGATCCGCCCACCTTGGCCTCCCAAAGTGCTGGGATTACAGGCATGAGTCACCATGCCCAGCCTAAAGATGATTTTTAAAAATATTCAAGGAACAGATAACCTAACTCTCCCGAAACTATTCTAGAGTTTAGAAAATGATGGAAAGCTGACCAACTCCTTTTATGAGGTTGGTAAAAACACTATTATCAAAACCAGATAAGGAAAACATAAGAAAAAACAAAACCACAAAGGATCATTAGACTTGTACATGTAAAAACCACAAAAAATATTAGTACATTGAGTCCTATAGTTTATTAATAATATATCTTGAGCCACTAAGTTTAATTCAACAAAAACAAAAAATAGACAAATTGTCAATTTGTCAATGCTTTAATAAATTAATGGGGAAAAAATCCTTATAGTTTTCACAGTAGATGCTGCCCTCTGTCCTGCCCTGTAAACCTTCATTTATGACATAAATCTCTAGAAAATAGAATAAAGGGGAACTCCCTGAAATATTAAAGGATATAATCCAGAAAACTGTAGGAAGCACCCTACTTAGTGGTGCCACAAAATTTAAGCCAAGTCACTTCTCCTATATCACAGCTTAGCCAAAATTCAAGAAAAGAAATAAAAATTGGAAAGAAAGAAACAAAACTATTATTATTTTCAGAGACCATAATTGTTCAATTTGGAAAAGCCAAAGAATCACCTGACAAATGATTAAAACCAATTAATTAGTTTAGTGGGAGTGCCAAATGTGAGTTGAACATATAAAGATCAGTAGTTTTTCTTCCTTCAGCAAAAACCATGAGAAATTGCACCAAGAAAAATGATCCTATTCGTAATACTAACAAAATATTTTAGGTATTGGAGGCTAGACCTTTGGCAGCCATACCAAAGACCTAAACCTTCTCCCTTTTAAAACTTTTTTACTTAAAAAAAACCCTTAAGCTTTGCTGGGGTTGGCAATATATTCACCTAAAATAGATGATCTCTCAGCATCCTTTGCAGGTCGTGTGTTAGCTGTGTGATGAAGGTCTGCTCAATGATATGTAAGCAGAATTCCTGTAGTAGGGGGCTCCTTATCAGATAAGAAGACAGCATTTGGTAAGAAGCTGCCGTTGGTCCTTCCACCTTCTTCCTACCTGGAATACAGACAAGATGCCAGGAGGTACAGCAGCCTTCTTGGGATCACAATGTGACCACTTTCTGCTGAAGATGGTGGAGGAAAAGACAGAAGATGCTCAGTTCCTTGATGATCTTCTGGAGCAAATCACTGGCCTGGCCTGCCTTACCTTGGGCTTCTTGGTAAATGGTGAGTTTGGAGGGAGAGACAAAGAGCTAGGGGATCTACTTGTTACTGCCACTGGTGTTTAGATTTCCTCTAACTCACAAGTGAACACAGCCCAGATGCAAAATCTAACAAAAAGTGTTAAATCCAAATGACAATGAGATACCACTACATCGCTGGTAGAATGGCCCACATCCTGGCTACAGACAACACTGAATACCGGTGAGGATGAAAAGCAGCAGGAACTCTCATTCATTGCTGGGGGAACTGCAGAATGGTGTGGCCACTTTGGAGGACAGTTTGGCAGTTTCCTACAAAACAAAATCTACTCTTACCATAGGATTCAGCAATCGCTTTCCTTGGTATTTACTCAAATGAATTGAAAGCTTCTGTCCACACAAAACCTGCACATGGCTGTTTATACCAGCTTTATTCATAATTACCACAACCTGGGCACAACCAAGATGTCCTGCAGTCGGTGAACACATAAATAAACCATGGAACATCCAGATGATGCAATACTACTCAGTGTTAAAAAATGAGCCATCAAGTAATGAAAAAGTGAAATAATGAAGCAATATTCGCATTGCTAAGTGAAATAAACCAACCTGAAAATGCTACATACGTCTGCTTCCAAGTATATGACATTCTGGAAAAGGCAAAACTGTAGGGATAGTAGAAAGACCAGTAAGGTTGCCTAGGGTTGAGGGGACGGATGGTAGGTGGAGCACAAAAAATTTTTAGGGCAATGAAAATTCCCTATGTGATATTGTAATGGTGGATACATGTCATTATACATGTGTTCAAACCCATAGAATGAAGAGCACGAAGGATGAACCTTAACGTAAACCATGGATTTTGGGTGATACTGACATATCAGTGGGGGTAGATAGAGTGTAAGAAACATACACTCCAGTGCGAGATGCCGGTGGTGTCAGGGGGCAGGGCTGTGCATGTGTGGGGCCGGGGGGATATGGGAAGTCTGTGTACCGTCCTCCCAATTTTGATTTGAACCTAAAACTGCTCTTTTTTCTTTTAAATGTGAAATCTAAATGGAGAAATCTCTAAAATGTCATAGAACACTAGAAAAAGCCTAAATAAAAGAAGAGATGAACTACGTTCAAAAATGGGAAGATTCCATGTGGCAAGGCGGCCACGTTTTCTCAAACCAGCTTATAAAGTCAGTGAGCTGCCAATCAAAATCTCTACAAGATTTTCCCAGGAAATTGACAAATTAATTGTAGAATTCACACGAAAGAGTAAACACGGAAGAAAAGCCAAGGCTACCAGGTCCCAGGAGAAGAAGGGCAGGGTGCTTTTCGCCCCCAGGACCTGGGCAGACTCTAAAGGCCAGCGGTGAAAGCAATGGGACACCGGTGACGGGGAGGTGGTGACTGCCTGTGCATGAGCAGATTTGGTGACAGAGTGGCTCTCAAGTCAGTGGGAAAAAGTGCACTGGTGGCCACGAGAACGCACCTTACAGAGCTTCAACTACAGAGGGTAATGAGCAAGGCGCTGCTCTGGGAAGTCCATTGCACCAGCTCCTGCCTGTGAGCAGGGGAGCTAGGACTGGCTTTTCCTGGGTGACATGGGAATGGGTGCCTATGACTGGGGGCTCCCCCTTAGACTGCGGGGCATCTAGAATGCCTCCTCCCCACCCTCCTTCCAGCTGTCCTCCACAAGCCTCCTCTGTTCTTACCCTTGATCTTTCAAAGTTGTTTGTCCTAATAACCCCCTGCTCATTTCTTTTTAGTTTAATTTTAATTTTTAAATTTTATTATTCCATAAGTTATTGGGGTACAGGTGGTATTTGGTTACCTGAGTAAGTTCTTTAGTGGTGATTTGTGAGACTTTGGTGCACCTATCACCCAAGCAATTTACACGGCACCCTATTTGTAGTCTTTTATCCCCACCCCCCTCCCACTCTTCCCCCCAAATCTCCAAAGTCCATTGTATTATTCTTATGCCTTTGTGTCCTCATAGCTTAGCTCCCACATATCAATGAGAACATACGATGTTT